CTTTCCCTGTTCTCACATGCAAGATGCTCCTACCTATTAAGATGCTTCAAGCATGAGTATACAATTTTATCTCTCAATCAATTTGGAAAGCAAAAACATCTGTTCTAAAACCAAAACAATTTCTTCTTTTTAGCACAATACATATTTTATGGGTAGACCTCAAGAATCTGAGGGTTAACGTGGCCTTTAAAAGGTGCAGAGCTCCCTTTCACATGACAATAAAGTGTCTCACTGGCTCTCATATGGCTATGACCGATTCCATAAAAATTCTTGATACTGAATAGCCCCAAGCCAGTCAAAATGTACACTGACTAATAAAGCATTGGTTTTATGTGAAAGTCTAAAATACAAAAAAAATACCTTTGATTCAAAGAACACCACCCACAGTAGGGATCCTTTGCAGATAAGCATTCTTGCTCGGAAACATATCTACCACAATTTGCAACTGGTATTCTTCTCACCTAAAACCAAAGAATGCAATAACACACTGAATTACAATAGCCTCCATAAACAGGGAAACGGAAGGTTACCATAAAAAATCTGACAGCAACCAAACATGATCCCTTCGGGAAAGTTTCCTTACAGACTCCTCTCTGCCAGAAGACCTTTGGATAGAAATATGCAGCCTGTTTTACATACGCTGAATTTTGCCATCAGATGATGAAACTCCTCTGACAACGACAAGGCCAGCATGGACAGAGTAATGGAGGAAAGCCTAATTAGCACAGTGAATTACAGATAACAATAGAAAGGAGGTATATTTTACAAATAATGTTCTGCTTAGCAGAACATCATTTTTCGCTCATCAGAACTGAGATTTTTAAATGATTGATGAAAGCGCATCCAAAAATGCATGCACAAAACAAAATCCATCTGTGTTTGCATCACCATGTCAGGTAACTGCAAGAGCACGCTAGAACAAATGCACGCAACTACTCAGCATGCATGAAAATGCCATTTCAATAAGTAAATGTAGATAATTGTGGCTATATTGTATGCAGCTATACTTGTAAATTCAGCTCGAATATCCTAGCCAGCCATTTTCAGAAAAGGAAAGGAAAAAAGAAAAAGAGAAAGCTGATTACAAATATTGAATACAAATACAAATAATGTTATTAATAACAATGTTAATTAATAATATTAGAAAAATATTCCTAATTCAAATATTTTTTTTTACAAATTAGCAAGAATTGTAAGTTCCTATATTTTGTGAACAGAAACAAGGGTACATGGCTTTCTGTAGAACTGTATTTACTGTTTTTACCAGCCATATCTTGTAAAATTATATTTATCTGAAGGTGTGTGAGATAATCAGTTCAGAAACCAGCCAAAATCAAAGACTATTAGCAAGTTAAAAAAGACAGTGTAGAAGCCTGTAGAAGCCTCCAAGAGATGATCAGAGAGAAGCACTTATTCCTAACAGATGTTTGTTCCTCTATAACAACATGATCTTTTACCAAAGCTAAAGAAAATTCAAGTCTTTACTTTGAATACCTACATATACTTTTGACTGGAATTTTTTTTCTTTCTGTATTTGTGATAGATGGTTTATACCAGTCAGGAGTTCTCCTACCAACTTACCCACTCTCTCAGATGGCAGGCTAAAATGCTACGCTCACTGCTGGAAAAGCTATTTTACTGTAAATGAAGGTAATCAAGTGCTGGGTGAAATCCTTTCCAGCTAAGATGGACAGCCAGCCTTTATGTTTTTACTGTCATCTTCCCCACTGCTGGTGAGACATAGGAATTTGCTGAGTAGATGCTCAGTAGCCCTGCTGCAGGATGTGCTACAGCAACTGCACCAGCTCCTGGCAGCCACTCTCTGCTTGGGATGCAGCTCTGATGCGTTTGCTCACATGCATTAGCATGACTGCTGAACTCCTTGGCCTCACTATACATACACATTAATCACTTCTGATTGTGTTTTTGTTTTGTTTTAAAAGTCTATGCCTAACTGAAGATGATGAAAATTTTATCGTTGATTTCAGTAGAAGTAAGACTTCAAACCCATCTCTCAAATTAAGAGAGTTCTCACATTATAAACATAATTGACTAGCAAACCCTGGCCTACCAATACCTGGATTGCTAATTCAAAGGAACTCTGTCTCCAAAGAGTCTACAAGTTTTGCTGGCTACCTCCAAGCTTGATTCTGCATGATGCCTCAGGGAAAAAGAGAAACAAAGACTCTCTCAACAGAATGACATAAAATAAGCATGGGATTAAGGGTGTTGCTGGATGATAGCAACAGTGGGCAGCACAATGACAGTGGAAGCTCTCCTGAGCTCTGCAGAAGTGCAGCCCAAACTTAGATAACATCACCAGATATTAGATGTAAAGTTGATAGCTGCAGTTTGGACTTTTAAGGTCTAACTCTGACCCAAACTGATGCTTCACTTCTAAAGTGCCAGACATCCTTAAAGCAGTAGTTTACTTGAATTTATTATTTTATTTAATATTGTGCTTACCTTATTGGCAGAGGACAGATAGATGTAGTTATTATCTACGGGATCAAGGCGAAGTTTGGGGAAAATGGAGGTTTCTTCCTCAATTTCGTATAAAACCTCTGGGCAATTAGATTCCATATCCTCATTAAGAATAGCCTAAAACACATAAAATTAAATTATTCACAAGTCCCTTTATTGATCAGTCCGCATTTTAAATAAAAGCCTAATTTCAGCTACATCAGAGCTTCTGAGATGATGTACTGCGCCTGTTTCAATTTACCTACTGCACTGGTTCTCACGCTGCAGAAAGATGGAGAAAAAGACCACCAGAACAGAATTTCAACAAAATCCATGCCAGACACATTTTTCACTGAACGTGGCACTGGTTTAGCATATGAAGCATCCCGCTCACCAAGTGTGCTCCTGATTGATGCAGAAACTGAATGTGGAAGAGATGCCTATATCCCAAAGTCATAACGTGTTAAGTACTCTTAGGAATGGAGAAGAAAGTATTAGCCTCCAGAAAAAAATTAACATCCAGACACCCATAGTGTAAAAAGGAACCTAAGCAAGTTACTGACAACTGTCTCCAGGATAGAAGTTTCTTTGTGGCTTCTGGGAGCATACACCTGAGGTGGTATTTCTTTTTCTTACCTTACCCAACTCTACAGTTTTCCACCACCCTTTGCACTGAATTCAAGAGAACCAGAGACCACAGAAACTTCATTTTGCGAGTTAATAAGCACACCAACACCGATATAAGGTTTTCCATAAACATGGCTAAACAAGGGAGATACGTTCATGGTCTCCACTGTGCTAAGGAGACATGGAAGACTTCGATTTCATTTGTCATTATCAAAAGCACAGTGAAATCAAATGGGCAAAAGCTTTTCACGCTCTCTTCTATATTCCTCTCCAACTGTCTGCTTAATAAAAACAAAAAATGAGAATCATCCTTTGTGTGTAGACAGGAAATGCACATTCTTGCAAACCCCCCCCCGCAAAATTAAAGCATAAAAGACATTTGACTGGATTGTTGAAAAGTTTGATAATGAAATAAGATGATTTTCACTTCCAGGTGATTGACTTAAGCTAGCATAAGTCAACTATTCAGAAGCTAAGGCAAAATAAATCTTGACTTTTATCTCTAATGGACGGCTATTCACATCACACAAACACGCTAACAAACAAGTAAATATGCTCCCAAAATCTAACAATATTTAATATTACTACTGGAAAATCAAAGCAAGGAAGGAAACAAAAGACAGAGTATCCCAAAACTCCACAGTCCATAAATTGATACTGTGGGTATTAGCAGTTTAACGAAATGTTTCCATGAATTTTAAGCAGGGTACATAAAATTCAGGGCATTATACCTGTTTATAATACAGTGCCTAAACCAGGAAACATTTACCCACTTGAACACAGCAGCAGCCAACAGAGAAGGGAGGAACTGCCACACCCAGCTTACCTTCAGTAACTGTCCGTCATCTGTTCCCAAAAAGAGAACTATCTGATTCAAAACAACTGTGCCATAAACAGCCACTAATCCAGAGTGAATCAAGGTAGGTAATTTCTTGATTGATCGTGCCTCCTGAAAATCAGATATAAGAGAAAGCTATTACAAAATCATTCACCTATACTGCAAACCATTAAGAAAAAGAAGAATCCCTGGAAAGAATCTGAGAGAACTCAACTTTAGACAATACTTTGGATAACATTTTAATTCTGACACAATTTCAGAGCAACTATCATTGGAAATGGCACAGGAAACATGAAACTACTACTTTTTTATACATGGCAACTGGTCATGTCTGGGATACAGATTACATCTACTGCAGCTAAAACTGACCTCAGTGGGACACAGATTTGGCCTAACAGCAGCAAGTCACTTTGCAACAGAATTTCTCTTTCTTGGGACATAATGCCCTGGTCTTATTCTGAATTGCCAGTTCCCAATGAAACCATGCTCTGCCATCACCTGACTGCATCTACCATGAAGGCTACAGATACACTCCACAACCACTTTTAAAGGCATGCAAATATTCTAGAGAAAGGATGCACTTCAAATACATAGAATTTTGTGTGTGTTTGCGTGTGTGTTTGTCAGAAAATGCAGAGCTTCATCCTCCCCTTTCTGGTTTCCTGCTTTACACTAAAGGAAGTTGACACTTGCGTATTACACAAACATAAAAATGAGATAAAGCAGTATAAAGTTCACGTCAGGGAGAACATAAATGTACCTCTTAGAACTTTAAAATCAACATGTTGGCAGTGTTACGTTAATGGTTGGACTTGATGATCTTAAAGGTCTTCTCCAACCTAAAAGATTCTATGATTCTATGTTACCTACAATTCTCCATCCAAGCTGTAGGAAGTTAAGTGACAAACATGTGTAAGCAGCTCATGAAAGAAAACATCATGCAGGAAACCCCTGTATCTTGTGGAAGGAAAAACCAAACTAAATAACCCTAATTGTAGATGATCAAGTGCTGAAATGAAGCCCTGATGTGTGAGAAAAAGGTCATTCACCAGGTGAGAGATGGTCTCCTGTAATTGCTTTAAGTCAATCTCCGTGGCAGATACTGCCGAAAGTGTGATCTCACCTGCTCTCCAAACAGGTCCAATCCCAGCCAAGCTCTACCTTCTCTTCCTCTTCCCCTCTATTAGTATAATACTTTCCAGTGAGCTTAGTTAAGGAAATGATAAGCCTAGAAAATGGTCTGTAAATCCACCTACCTACAAGCCTAAATCTTCATTTGAGTCATTCTCCTCATCACAGGAACATGTAGTTGCACAGACAGCAGTCCTGGCACAAAGGAGGGGCACGCATGGAGATGTGGGGGGAAGAGCTCAGGTAGGACCAGGACCTTGGGAACAAGCCCAGTAGGTCAGCTTACAAAGCCCAGAATCTCAGCCTCAAGGGTGCATTCCTAAACCTACAGGAACCCTCTGAGTGCAAGAACCTTTGCTTTAATGCACAAGAGAAAGTGTGAGAATGAACCATTAAAACTGACATTTTGCAGAAAGGTGAAGGCATTTCTCAAAGTGAATCCATAACCTGGTAACAGCTGAATTCAATTCTCTTGCATGCTAGGATGCTGGCTTAACCCCAAAAATTCTTTCCACATCGAAATAAATTTTTTCTAAATGGCAATCCTAAACCAATTAAAATCTTTTTCAGTCATCTGAATTATTTTAATTAGCTTGCAAGAACAGCCACTTGGAGTAAAGAAGGCTTGATTAACTTTCATATTTAAAGATACTTTTTTCACGCAGCACGAAGACGACACAGGAACTGTCCTGTACTGGCACAGAACTTCAGTAAAATCCACTTAGGCAGGAGACTCCAGTTCCATGGAGGTCTGTTTTAGATGGGGGGGAGGGTGATTGCAAGCATTTTAAGGTGCAAAAAGTTAACTCACTTTTTTGTTAGATCAGAAGGTAAAAAAACTCTCCAGCACTGGTGCACACAATGAGCCTTCACTCAGGCTAAGGAGTGAAGAGGTGAAGCTTCCAGGCTTTCATTGCCAACAGAATTAGGATTTTTTTTTTCTGCATTGCACCATATAGTAGTGTAAGGAAAACAAACCACCTTAGGTTCCTTGCAGACTCTGTACAGTAAGACCACAGAAGAGGGGAGGACTTACCCAGTCTCTGAAAAGCTTTAGTGCCAGATTTTATTTTGACCCACATACTAGTAAAATAACTAGTGTCGTATCAGTGCATCCCCCTCATCTGACTGAAGAACCAATACTGACATGTGTGGAAGCCTCCTCCCCTCGCTCTGCTTGCTAGAGGGAGGGTCAATGCGACATTGAGCTAATACAGATAAGAAAAGGAGGAATTTAGACAGTGGACAGTCATGACAAAAATTGCCTTCTCTCTTTTGCAACCTATTTCTCCAGCTTGCTCATTCCCTCCAGGGTGCAGCTGCTGCTTTCACCCTTCTGTCATCCCTTTCCCATGTGCATTTATTTTTTTAACAAGCCCTTTTACCTCTTCCACTGTGACTAATGGGGTTACAGCACTGCAGGGTCTTCCCAAGCTTTTTCTTTCACAGCTAAATCCATCCTTAAAATGCATTTACAGTCTAAACTTCTTTTATTCCTGAAGAGTCACTCATCTCCATGATCTTCTGTATGTCTATCCTGTAACGTTCTCAGGCTCATACAAAAACAAGAAAAGCAAAAGAAAAAACAATATTGCTCTAGAAGACTGTTCTTAATTTTTCAGTTCCACCCTCTGTTCTATTCCGTAGCCCCCCCAAATCTTCGCATGCACAGGTAAGCCTAGAGATCTCCTGAATTAACTTAAATTTTGCTTTTAAGTTCACCCCCTTATGCTTTTTGGTTATTGGCATGAAAGGTATTTATATTAATTTTCTATTTTGCATTTCATTTTCAGATTTATCTCTGCATGATTCCAGCTGCAGCAACCATATTTACACTTCTACTTTCTGTCTTGATTTCCTCATGATTATTTTACATTGAGTGCCTCAGAGGGAAGGGCAGCATTTTTAGCTCACGCAGCACTCAACATATTGCAGCTGGCCAAAAAGTAAAAATAAAGGGTCTGAGCATCAGAGTGAATGAACAGATGCAGCTATACAAAAGGACACAAGACTTGTGAGCAGCATATAGCAATAGTCAACAATGGAACAATACATAGATGTTTTTCCTAGAAGGAAAAAACTTCTGGAACATTTTTCGTTCTTAACTTCATCACCCTTCAAACTTCTGCATAAATTTTGATTATATCAGGGGATAACAAACTTAAATACTGGTGCATGCAGCGAGAATTTATTAGGGCTAAGGAATGAGGAGATGAACTGTTCCAAAATTTTATTTCCATGAGGTTTTTTAATTTGTGCACTGCATAGCAATGCTAGGTGGACAAACCATCCCTGGTGAGCAGACTGCAAAAAATCAGGGAGGATGACCACAAAATGAGAGGGTCTTCACAGAGACCTTGCAGAGGCAAGATCCTGAGCCTCATGATGCAAGGCAGGAGGGACAGTCAGAGGCTATGCTTCAGCAAGAGGTTGATGCAGACTCCTGAGATAGGGAGGCTAGAAACTAGTGACTTCTTGCAGCAGCAGAAACGCTCCTTCTCTGCCCTCAGATCTGGGTTTACAGAATTGACTAAATGTCTTAATAATCAATGAGGGAGAACAAGCTCCATTAAGGAAGGCTTTGAACCAAAAAAAGAAGCATCAAAAGCAGCATGGCCAGCAGGTCAAGGAAAGTGATACTCCCTCTCTACTCCGCCCTCGTGAGACCCCCACCTGGAGTCCTGCATCCAGCTCTGGAGCCCTCAGCAAAGGAAAGACATGGACCTGTTGGAGAGGGTCCAGAGGAGGGCCACAAAAATGGTCAGAAGGATGGAAGACCTCTCCTGTGAGCACAGGCAGAGAGAGTTGGAGTTGTTCAGCCTGGAGAAGAGAAGACTCCGAGGACACCTTCTTGCAGCCTTCCAGTACTTAAAGGGGGCTTGTAAGAAAGACGGGGACAAACTTTTTAGTAGGGCCTGTTGCAATAGGACAAGGTGTAATGGTTTTAAACTAAAAGAGGGTAGATTCAGACTAGATATAAGGAAGAAATGTCTCCCAATGAGGGTGGTGAAACACTGGCACAGGTTGCCCAGAGAAGTGGTAGATGCCCCACCCCTGGAAACATTCAAGGTCAGGTTGGACAGGGCTCTGAGCAACCTGATCTAGTTGAAGATGCCCCTGCTCCTTGCAGGGGGGTTGGACCAGATGACCTTTAAAGGTCCCTTCCAACCCAATCTTTTCTATGATTCTATGAAACCAGCTGAGCTTGAACTGAGTATTAGCAGAAACCAAGAGAAAGTGGTGAGTGACCATGGTTGTAGATTCCACCCTGTGAAGGATGAAGGCACACAACTGCTAAACTGTCATGCTGTTACAACATGTTTCTATTTTTTTAGGGGCCCTGATCCATTACATTGCAGAGAGACTGCCACTGATTTTCCATTCCTTGGACCACTACCCATTGTTGCACATCAATGTGGACACCAAAGACATTGCCTAGTGCAGATCAGGACTACAGAGCTCTGGGAAAAAAGTGAAGGAGATGGTACTCCAGACTTTGTTAACCCTATGGGGTCAGTGAAGGGTGATGCTTTTCTGGATTTGCTACTCACAAACAAGGAAGAACTGACTGGGGATGTGATAATCAATGGCAGCCTTCATTGTAGTAACTATGAAATAACCGAGTTCAGGATCCTGAGGGTAAGGAAAGAACAGCAGAGTACAGAGCCAGAAACCAGGCTTCAGCTTGTTAGGGGAGCTGGTTAGTGGGATCCCGTGAGATCCCTTCCCGTTTTGAAGGGAAATTTTTTAGGGGACATGGTGGCGCTGGATTAGTGGTTGGACTTGATGATCTTGAAGGTGCTTTCCAGCCTTAGCGATTCTGTGATTCTGTGAAATGGAGCTGAGGAAAGCTAGTAGGTCTCTCAGGACAACCTCCTCCAAGCACAAAACTCAGGAAAACAATCAGGTGTATCAGGAGATGGCCCCTAGCTGAGCAGGAAAGTCATGATTGAACAACAGTGCAGAAAAAAAGAATAGAG